GTCAAATTTGACCAGTCCTGTTTTAACTGCTATTACATTAACACAAAAACCATTAATCATCACCAAATTTAATTTAACACCCTTTGAAACTATACATATTGTATCAGACTACTGGCATACATGAAAAACTGCAGTAAATATTAGGGATGCACGATATTGGTTTTTTGAAACCGATACCAATACCGATAACTTCCTGCTTCTCAAGACCGATACCGATACCGATAATAATATAATATATATATATATTAAATGTACCTGTAGTTTTTGCACACCTGGTGGTTTAGCAGCGCAGGCGTCTTCGTACGCTTTTAACACACCATCGTAGCGATGGCGATGTTTCAGGTGACTAATCAGGTTGGAAGTATTATAGCTCGTTGCCTTTTTCCCTCCTCGTGGAACTTCTGCATTGCATTTGTTAATACAAATAGCAAGCGAACTATCTAACTCTGAAACTTTGAAATAGTCCCATACTACCGGCGACATGTTTGTTTACTGTCCTGGCTTCACGGCCGCACACCATTTACGTCACATCCAGGCATGAGTTAGGGAGCGCTGGATTTGTGAAGAACTCTCCCTCTTCCTAAACCACTAATACCACAGTACTGGCAAAACGGGAGCCGAATGAAAAACAAGCGCCCCTCATCCCAATCCACCCACACCGCAGTATTTTTTTCTTTTTTTTTTACCCAAAAAATATATTGTATATTATCGGGGCTATTAATACTGTTATCGGGTTTATCAGGGATGACGTCATAATTCCTAATATCGGACCGATAATTATTGTGCACTACTAGTAAATATACAAAGAACAGACACTGAACATGTATTGCGTGTGCCAGGTGTGATCCATGTGGGGGGATGGGCACAAAAGAGTGGGAAATGTGTCAAATTGTTCTGTGTGTGTGTGTGTGTCTGTGTGTGTGTGTGGCCTAGCATTACTATACTTGTGGGGACCTACATCTGTTTACACAGTCACGTGTGGGGACTCGCCTCCCTTATGGGGACAAATTGGAGGTCCCCATGAGGGGAATCATTAATTTTAGGGTGAAGACTTGGTTAGGTTTAGGATTAGGGTAAGGGTAAGGTTAAGGGTAAGGGTTAGGGTTAGGCATGTGTTGGTTATGGTTAAGGTTAGGATAAGTCTCCAGGAAATGCATGTAAGTCAATGTAATGTCCCCTGAAGTGATGTATACATGCTACAGTATATGTGTGTGTGTGTGTGTGTGTGTGTGTGTTTTATCTGATCCGGATGGTTACTAATTCCTTTTCTTTATGGTGGGAACACCATGGGTGTTACAAAGTTGACTAAATCATCCAAAATTCAATGAAAGTGGTGATCAGCAATTGTATATGTTCAAATGTCTACTGTGAAGGATATCATAAAGCCTTAATGCAATCGAACGTAAAACAAAAAAGTTATGATTGATGAAAGTGGTAAATCGGTCAGATTTGACCTGAAGACAACAGGAGGGTTAATCGCCTATTGAACAAAAAACCCATTATCCATTTTCACAATTAGCAGAACAAGCTCCATATTAAAAAAGGACCTAATACGCTTTCTGGGGGTTTTCTTTCCTGTATGTGTCAATATTTGTCTCCGTCTACATTCACAGCTTATTACATCTTCATCCTTTTCCAAATATAGGGTGATTTATTCAGATTCCTCTATTTCCATTGTTATTCCACCTCCTCAATGACAGATGATTGACTGAATGTCAAATGTATATAAGTATATACTAAGGGAATTTGAGTGTGTGCTCTAGGGCTTCATTCTCAATATTACTCAAAAATATAACGCAGGTGTTCTACGTTGTGGGAAAAGTTAATTTATGTTTTTCTGTGTAAAATTAAGATATAATCACATACTTTTCCACCTGAAATACAAATAAACCTGTGTAAATCTGTCAGTTTAAGAGGAGCAAATGTATTTCTTCTCATCTCATGTGAGCTAATGTGCGTCACCTTTAAATGAGACCTTTCTCTGACCTTAATAAAAGCCTAAATGAGTTTCTTCAGTGAGCAGCTGCCCTCACTGTGGTTTGATGGTGGATTAGACATCATTGGAGCTGTGGCTTCGTCCTGTGTAACCGGCTACGGCTAAAAGCTGAAACCCAATACCTGGAGATGTTATGTTATGACGTCGGCTGTTGCTAGTCCATGACAAATCTTTGTTTTTGAGCGTACACACAACCACAATGCTTCTCCTAAAAATAACAACCAATATTCAATACCAATGCAATATCCCAATGTCTCTAATGAGCGGCCATTTCCCTCAAAGGGCAGAGGGCACATATCATCCTCATTAAAGGGTCTTCCCAGAGTGTTGACTCAAACACAGGAGGATATTAGAAGTACTGCTATGAGAATGGTTCTTAAGTACATATATTTAAGTATGATCAGGATACTTAAAGTATTTGGAGTAAAAGTACTTAAACTCCAAATTGAAAATGTTTGACTCAAAACAATACTTAATCAATGAGCAAAATGGTTGCCAATTCATTTTCTGTCAACCCACTCCTTGTCTAAGGTGTAATTATATATAATGTAATACTGGATAGTTTAATCTACATACACAAATCCTATTTTAAAAGTTCTTCATAGGTTTTATGTGTAAAAATCTGTAACCTAATACATACCCTAATCCCTAACCCAATAATATTAACTTTAAATAAAAACGATTAGGTTCTTAACTTAATATTATTGCTTTCAACTAAGACAAGATAAGATATTACTTTATTGATCCCAATTTGGGAAATGTTTGCATTGCAGAAGCAAAAAAGACAATAATATTTGTATTTTAATACAAATTAAGTTGACTAGAAATAAACAAGAAAGTAGAAAATATACATGTTAAATTTACAAATGAATAATAACAAAAACAAAATATAAAGCAAGTAATTATATATAGATAAGTATGAGAGGTCTGTTGACATTATACATTCAATTAAAGTCAACGGTTCAGTTTTTTCAGTGTACCTCAAATGTGTACTTAAGAAGAGTACTGCAGTAAAAGTACTGAGTTACTCTCCGGCTCTTCCTCAGGGTGCAGGGTCTGGCTTGCCCCCTTAATCCTGCCTTCATTAGGTTTCTGCTGGGGGATTGCCGTGTGGAGGAGTGTTCGCTCTGCGCAGCTCTTTGTTAAAGCCGCCCTCAGGGCTTCGGGGAAATGCTTAAATTAACAAGTGTGCAGCCGGCAGTTATCTGCGGATAATTGACCTTGAGTACACATCATTGATTTTAGGGATGCCGCGGTGGTTTAAGCGCTGCAGTTATATCGCGTGGCATAAATGGAATGTGTGTGGGTTTTATTCGCATTATGGAGAAGAGCTATAGACTCACATACTGTACAGCGTGCGTATCAAACACGGCATTTTTTATACCATTTATGAGCTGTGGGGTTCCTTTTATTTGAAACCTTAAATTAACAACCTCTTAGATTAATGTTTTTGTAATTGACCCCGATCAAAGCTAGCTCCTGTTGTTAACCCTTCATTTTACAATGGTATATAATACGATATACACAATGATTACAGCTGCAGATTTTCCACTTAAAATGTATAGTTAGTTTTGATTCAATGGGACCTTCACTTAAGATAGATGTAAACAAAAAAAGACATTATCAACTATGTTAGACAGCAAACTATTGACAAAAACAACCATTTGGTCTAAAATATGCATTTCATGGATACATACATTATCTCAGTCGACTTAAATAACCTGAAAAGGCCAAAGTCCCTGGAAGACAGTCAGCACACACATGACATGTGAGAACAGCAGGGCCGTCCCTGGCCAACATGAGGCCCCACGCAAAGTTCTATGATGAGGCCCTCTGTTTTGCGAGCGTCGACGGGAGGGGGCACTAGTGGAGCCTCGCAGCAGCGAAACCGTACCGCACCACACTAATTGCGCCGCATAAGCGCATAGGTGCGCCGCATTTCCGGCTCAGTTGAGGCACCCTCCGCAAGATGAGGGTCCCTCCGCGAGGTGAGGCCCCACGCAGTCTGCATGGTCGGCCTGTAGGGAGGGACGGCCCTGAAGAACAGTATACAGTTTAATAGCTTAACAGTCATTTAAGTAACTTCATTGGCACATCATGTAGTTATGCTAACTTTCTGCCTGGGAAGAAACCTATACTTTCTAATAAAAAAAAGTGGAAAGAGTAGAAGGGTGGCACTGCTAAGTTAAATGATCCGTCATTGTCCTAATTTACGAGTAACCACTTCCTTCACTTTCTCCTGATTAAGCATGTTATTTCTTGTGGAGGCGGCAAAGATGATTAAGGTTTTCTCACATAAATCACTTCAAGCTTTAGTCAGCTTTAATCGGCAGGATAGTCATCACTTCCCGGATCTCAGAGTCTGTGTGATGCTGAGTTCATGTTGCTCAAAAGTGGTTTTGTTTGTGCAGTCATTTTAATATCAATAATGAGCACCCGAAACTGTACAGTCAATTAATGTCAATTGTATGCTTGCAAATCAATTCAGAAGTACGATATAAACTTTCTTTGCATGCAGCTCTGGTCTGTTTCACTTTAACCTCATTTTGATACCAGCCATGGATCCACATAAACACACCGAATACACTTTAATATGAAAGTTACCTTATACTGTACAGTTATGCTTACTTTTTTGTTTTGTGTGCCTCTACTGTCTCCATGCTTTAATGTTCAAAAAGCTCTTTATTTTTCTCATACTGCCTGTGCTGCAGCACCTCTTTTCACCCTCCGTCTGAAACCAGAGCCCAGTCTAATCTGATTGGTTAGCTGGCTGGCTCTGTTGTGCCGCTTAGAGATGTCGCGCCCCTGAGCCTATCACTCACAATAAGTTGGAGCACTTGCCAATAGAAGCGCAAAGTTTACGTAAAGATGTCAAAGTCAACTTTATTGTCAATCTTTCAGTTTGTGTGTACAGACAGAGAGATCTAAATACCCATTCCCACAATCCTGAATACAAAAACAACAAAAATATATAAATATATTTTTCTGTGTTTTTCTCCCACAGTACCCGCATGCAGACCCTCCAGGTGGACTCGGTGCAGCGCTGGATGGAGGATCTGCGCCACATGACGGAGGTGGAGTGCATGTGCGTCCTGCAGGCCAAGCCCATCGGGGTGGAGGAGGACGCCCAGCAGGGGGAGCTGATCGTGGCCTCGGGGGTCGGGGGAGGCGACCAAGTGGCGAGGAACAACCTGCAGACGCTGCTGCGCCGGGCGCTGGTGGTCAGCACGGAGCTGGGGAAGATGTTCCAGCGGCTAGAGAAGGGTCGCTGGCAGAGGGTCCACAGCACGGCGGTCAGGGCCAACTGCCACGTGCGCTCGCTGGTGCACGAGTACAGCGCCGCCCGAAACACACCGCCTGAGATGCAGAAGGTGAGTGATGACAGGGAAGAAGTCAAATAAGAAAAAGTGTATTTAATTACACCAATATCACAAAACATGATGCCTCAGATTAACAAACACGAATGACAGTGCTATAAAATAATAAATGGACACGATAAAAAGACAGAAAGACAATAAAAACAACACAAATCAAAACAGTTGTTGGTCCTCAAAAATAATCAATGTTCCAAAATAAGACAAAGTGGTGAAAGTGCTGACAGGGAAGAAGTCAAATCAAAGTTTATTTATATGGCCCAATATCCCAAAACACGATTGACTCAGTGGGCTTTATAGATTAACAAACATGAATGACAGTGCTAAAAGTTAAATAAAATCACAAGAATATTATTAAAAGGATAAGAAAGAGTGAACAAATAAATAAAAATACAACAGAAAGAAAATAAAAATACCACAAATAAAAGCAGTTTTGGGTCCTCAAGGCTTTAAAATAATCAATGTTTCAAAATAAGACAAAGGCGAAGATATGCAGTGAAGTCTTCAGATCAGGCACTGAGACTTCCTGACACATCAATTAAGATTTAATTAGGACTTTTTCATGCTGTTACATTAAAACGTCTAACTTTAGAGTTCGATCCATTCATACTCTGCTTTGGCTTATCATCACACTAAGAATAGAAAATCAATTGGTCACTGCTAAATACAGTTTTAAGTCTACACACACTCTCAATCCTAGGTTTGATTGAGAGTGTATATTAGGTTCCTGAACGTTTTTGGACTTATCTAGCTATGTCAATGATCAGAATGTCGAAAGTTTTATTTGAAAGATAACAAATGTTGATGCTAACGGCCCGTCCACACAGCGGCGTGCGTTGACGCTTGCCGGCGGGCGTGTCTGACACTCGACCAACGACCAATCACATGAATCTCCCGCCCCTGACACACAAGCAGCGGTTTGATTGGCTAGAGCTTGTACTGGCATATTATTCGATTGGCTGACGCTTCTGCCGAGGCGTCAAAAGTTGAACATTGCTCAACTTTTGAAGCGAGCAACGCCAGCAATGCTCCGCGTCGCTTCCCACAATGCAGTTCGGCTAAAAGTGACGTCACCCCATTCAAAGTGAATGGGCAGAAGCGTTGGAAGCTTCAACGCACGCCGCTGTGTGGACGGGCCGTAATGCATTTGATCACAGTTGTATGTGTTTGTTCTCTTCCTTTTGGGGTAGTATGAGAAATCTCTGCTGGACAAGTGTATGGAGCTGACCAATATCACGGAGAGGTAAGACTTTTAACAGCAAAAATACTTTTCTTTTTAATACTATTGCCGGGAAAAGAAGACGTTTATGTGGAAAAATGTCCAAAACGTCCCTCCCCCTCAGGTGCCTTCACACCGATGATGAGTTCTTCCTGAAGTCGATGAGGGAGGCGATCCACGAGATCCTCACCGACGTCAGCGACTCCTTCAGCAACATGATCGACATGGCTTTAGCCAACGAGATCCGGGTATGTGACGTAATTATAAATATTGACCCAATATATGTATTCTGTATCGACATTGAGCCCCTCCACATGTGCTCCAGAAAGTGTTCAAATATAATTCCTAAGTACAGATTTCCCATCATTCGGTGGGAATAATGTTGAATAAGAACCATGTGTATAACAATGTAATTCAAGTCCTTTTTAAGTCCTTCAACTGTTACACATTTCTGTATACTGCACCATGGGAAACAACAGTTTATCTTTATCCTCTTCACCATCGAAACATTTGTCCTAAAGCCATTTGAAAGATTCCTGGATGACAGAGAAATCCCACAGCAGTGTCTGAAACAGCTTCTGACAATATGATTTGCAATACTAGGTTTATTAAAGGTCCCCTATTATAATGTTTTTCATTCATATATTACAGGGTCTCAGATATATACAGAACATGTCTCTGAAGTGTTTGGCTCCAAACACCAAACAGATCATTGCAGCATTACCCATAATCCCCTCTGTTTCAGCCCTGTTTCAAAAGTGCTGATTCTGTCTGTTACTTTAGATGAAAATAAGGAGCCCCTCCCCACGCCCCTCTGAGAGAGATTTGGTTAAAAAGAACACCACAGCCGCGTTCACACCGCAGTACTTTTCCCACTTTACTTCCGATATAGTTCTGAAATGTCGCGTTCACACCAAAAAAATCCGGAACTAAAATGAGTTCATGAGAACCTTTTTACCCCCTTTTCTGTCCCTGCTAGAGAGCAGGGACTTTTGTGGGAGAAAAAGGTTCCTATGTCTGATTGGCTGGGCGGATTGCAAACTACGCCCCGTAAAACTCCAAAAACGTTTTGTGAAGCCGACATTTTATTATCCTCGCATTAGCATTATTAGCATTAGCATTAGCCCAGCGCAGAAACGCAGAGAGACTAACTTATGGCAACACAAAATAAAACATGGGAGCGGTGGAGATGAGGAGGTGTCGGCGTTCTGACGATTTACTCGGAAGGCTTCAGCTGAAGCCTTCCCCAACTCCATGGACTTCCGGCGGAGACTTCGGGTGGCAGTACACGCCGTGAAATTGTTTGCGGCCTGCCAGTAAACCCAAAGCAGAAGAAGAAGAATTGACGTCAGCGGCTTCATTTGCCTAATCCTCCCTCAGGGAACTTATTCTGGTGTGAACGCGATCTGTACTTAGTTCATGAGAACTAAAGAGTTCTGATGGACTAAGTTCTCATGAACCTTTGTGGGAAAAGTACTGCGGTGTGAATGCGCTAAATGGTGCTCGAAGAGGAGATTCAGGTGATAAGGTGGGGGGTTGCTGATTGGCTAATGGTCACACAAGCCAACAAATCGTTATGACATCATAAAGTGGCCAAAATCTGATCAGCTCATTTTCAGACAGGTTTTTATGTAAATGGATCAGGACAAAAAGAGAGAGAATCTTTATTCCTGAAACTTTCAGAGTCTCTTTCCACAGAGGGGACACATGTTGATGTAGAAGAGACATGGAGAAGAGGGGACACATGTTGATGTAGAAGAGACATGAAGAAGAGGGGACACATGTTGATGTAGAAGAGACATGAAGAAGAGGGGACACATGTTGCTGTAGAAGAGACATGAAGAAGAGGGGACAAATGTTGATGTAGAAGAGACATGGAAAAGTGGATTTTACACAATAAGTGACCTTTAATAAAGAAAATGACACACTGTTTGATGTTCCTCCAGCTCCTGATCAAACAGATCGACTCCTCGGACAGCGTGCACACCATCGGCAGCGCCATCAGCAACCTGCTGTCGCTCACACAGGACGGCCCGCAGCTCTGCAGCATCATCGCCAAGGTACTGATTGACAGGATGAAATGTTTCCGTCTGCGATGAACCACTGACGCATTTCATCATGCAAAAAAACCCTGTGAGGTCGGAGATCCTGACGTCAGAGACAAGTCAGCGGCATGATGGATTATATTCTTAGATTTGAGATTTTTCACACTAGCCTTCCTCCTTGTCTTTGGCAGAAGCAGCTTCCTTTGATATCACTTCTCCACCCCTGTAGACACACCCCTCTTATGATCAGCTTCACCTTTTGCTAAAGTTCAGACCTGCAGCTATCTCTTTGAACACGCCTCTAAAAAGCTATTTCACTCTGAGATAAGACGAGGTAGACCAGACAGCAAGTCTCAATTGGCCATTAGTTAACCGACTGCTTCCAGGATACTCTTGATAAGGCTCTTCCTGATGGGCCACACACACAGGGGATAACACACACACTCACACACACACACACACACACACACACACACACACACACACCTGTTTTGCTGCCAGATATTCAGATCAATACTGCCAGCTCCCATTAGGAGTGAGCATTGGTCACGAATGCAGGTTGCTCAGTCTTTACCCTTTAATCCGCTCCGCCTTTCTTACCTCCCTTTATATCCCTCATTCTCCTTCTTTTTTTTTTACTCTTGTAGATTGGCGCAGGAATGACTCTTAAAACCTGGTTATGAGTTAGCATTTCTACCACTTCCAGTTTCCTCGTCTCAAAGTCAATGATGTTCTTGAATTCGTTTTTAGTTAGAAGCCTGAAATAAGGTCTATGGTTAACATAAGCTTAAGAGATATTGATGTTTGTTCTACGACATCAAATACATCAGTAAATACCCCACTTGTGAATGTACTGTATGAAGCTTCTATGTCTTTAAAAACGATGGTTGCCAACAAACAACTAAATGAGACTATTAAATGTCATCTTCCCGAATGTTAGCCGCCTTTAGCTTAGCGGTGTTGACATGAAGTCAATCGACCACAAAGTAGTTTGTAGCGTTAAGATGTCACGTTAACTTTTACTTCTTGTAATTCCATTTATGCTTCAAAAATCTCAAAGTGGTGTTATTATGTGTAGAGGATCATGCTCCATAATGTAAATATCAGTGGCGAACCGTGTCAATCACAACTGGACCTTCTGTAGACACACACACACAGTCCAAGTGAACGCTCTCATTCAGTGCAACGGCCAGGGCATTCGATCAAGGATGTAGAATACCTTGGTTGAAGGATATTCTACCCAGAGACCCAGAACAAGATCTGATTGGTTGCTTTCTTTTCTAACACAAAACCACTGAAATGCGTAGAGCATGGTCCGAGAAGGACAAACAAATCAACGTAACACTGTAATATTACAGATCAACAACACAGATACGATTCTCATTTATTCATTTTATATACATTTATTACATTTTATTTATATAATTAAATCGATTTTTTTGTTTGTTTTATCTGAGTGTTCCAGGGTATTCTCTGAATACCTTGAAGGCCCTGACGGTTCACCACTGGTAAATATCCCATTGGCTTTCTGTAGAGGAAGCCATTGCAATGCTAACTTCAAGGTTAGCCATAAAAAAAACGACGTTCAACAACAAAAATAAAAGCTGTTTTTCTTTACTTCAGTCTTTAGTCGAGGTCCGATTGTTTCATAAATAACTGCACATTTTAGGTCTGCAACTGTTATCATGGTGTGTATTGCACATGTACCTCGCTAAATTGAAAAGCTTAAAAAACAGAGTGAGCCCTCAGAGAGGCGTCGGCAGCACCTGCCAATGACTGCTAATGAATACCCAAAACAAAACATCCTCCACCTGCGTCTGAATTAATGAACTAGCACCAGTCAGTCTGTCACACACACTCACAAACACACAGAAGTGTGTATCCTCTGGTTCATATCCAAGCTCTTCACTAATTATTATTTTCCACAGCCTGCTAACTTTACTCATGCATTTGTTTAAAAACTTGCGATGAGGCGTTACATGTTTGGCTCCTGATATTTCTTGTCATTCTTCTCTTGATAGCCAGTGTTTAGAGAGTGATGAGCTGAAGAAGGGCGGTACACACATGTGTGGAAGTGAAGCATGAGAAATAAAGATGAATAACAGTGTTGTGATGGAACCAGATGAGAACAGTGTAATGGATACCAGACAGTTTGAGGCGGTGGCAGCTTCTGAGAAAATCTGAGTATTGTGTTATAATTAAATTGATATTTAACGGCAGGTCCTAATTGTTGCTAACACTTCAACACATAAGGGTCGTTGTCTTCGACTGGGTTTTGTAGAAGATTTAAAGAGGCCATATTCTGCTTTTTGTGGTTTTCCGTTTCCTGTAGTGTGTTATAGGTTTCTGTGCATGTATGTTCTGCAAAGGGTAAAATCCCTGTTCCCACCAAGGTGCTTTTATTGGTTAGTGCTTCAACACACCGTAAGCCAGCTAACCAATCAGAGCAGACTGGGCTCTGGTTTCAGACAGAGGGTGAAAAGAGGTGCTGCAGCACAGGCAGTATGAGAAAAATGAAGAGCTTTTTGAAGAGACACAAAATACATATATGAAGCTGAAAATTTGAATAATATGTCCTCTTTAAAAATGACTCAAACTTTAACTAAATAAGTGTTTATTGAACTAAAGATTTCAATACTTAAAGCTGTATAATTGACTATTTTGGTTGCTGTAATCATAGTATTTGAATAATATTACCTTTTATATTTAATGACAAAGAAGCAGTTGCCTTCTATTGCAATATTTCTGGCTATGTAAATCAAATATTCACTTTCTTCGAGGGAACAAAGTAGGTGCGTGAGATCTGCCGTCTCATTCATAGGAACAAATACAAGTATTGTATTCTTCATAATGTATGTGTGGTTTATATTATTGCAGGATCCATAAAGCACTTTTCTGTAGTTCTCAGTTTCTCTCACTCTGACTAATCCCAAATGTTGTGACTGAATGAAATGCATCTGGTTTAACAAGCAGGACAGAACAAGCCGTTCAAACACCGTCCTTTATTTGATGACCCAGTCATAATGACAAAGCAGACAAAATATAAAAAAAGCTTTTAAAGTTTGCTCCTAATTCACCAGAACATCTTTTTATATCACAGAGATAATCATTATACAAACAATGATTTACATTTTCAGGTAGATTTTCATTTTCACCTGATCAATATGTTGAGGAACAACAAAGCGTGAGAGCGTATACTAAAAAGGAAAAATGTAAATGATTAGACGGTGTTTAATACCGAGCTGTGTGCCATCCCATAAATCTAACAGCAGCTGGGATATTACAGAGCGACCGTGTCACGGTGTGGAGGGGAGTTTGCTGTCTCAGAGTTTACACACCGTCATGACAGATACTGATTTAAAAGTGTGTGTGTGTGTGTGTCCTTGCTCTGAAAGTTGTATACGCAGGTTGTGAGAGCATGATGTGGCGATAACTCAGGCCTGGGTGAGAAGCAGTGTGTCGTCAAAACTACGTAGATGGAGAGCAGCGATGCATCATTTAGTGATTTCTTTCCGGAAATGCAACATGGACATGATCGGTGGAATATCTAAATGAGGTATTGTGGTGCTACAAACAAGTCCTGGTCTTCTAATGTTATTATTCAGACTTAATAATCCTCTTAAAAATCACACAATATATGATACAATGATATATTGATGACTAATGTTTTAAAGATTAAATATTATGCTTAGTTTCAGGTTCATATTTGTATTTTTCGCATCTACTGAGACATGTCTCCATTCTTTGAATGTTCTCATACTGCCTGTGCTGCAGCAGCTCTTTTCACCCTCTGTCTTAAATGAGACCGCACAAGGCAAGTGTTATTCTTATTCTAACAAGCATTATGATTTTTGCTTTGTCCACCAACCTTTTGTCAAACACAACGAGGTGGTGGTGGTGGCGAAGTCGATAGGGACTTGGCTTGGCAACTGGAAGGTCACCAGTTCAAGTCCCGGCAAGAACAAGTGCTACCGAGGTGTCCCTGAGCAAGGCACCGTTCCCCACACTGCTCCCCGGGCGCCGTTCAAAATGGCAGCACACTGCTCCTAACTCTAGGATGGGTCAAATGCAGAGAAACAAATTCCCCACGAGGGATTAATAAAAGTCCATCTTATCTTATCTTAGGTCCTTGAAAAACTAAAAGGTTTACTTACTACTTTTTTTGTTTAAAAATCAAGAAGTAAACTACCTCAAGAACCTGCAGACGCCTTGTGAGATCAGTTCAGATTATTATGAGATGGAAAGAAATGACACGCTGTCTCGGCCTTCACATGCAAACAAACGGATGGAGATGATGATGATGTTAGTGCAGCAAGTACCGAAATGCACGGGTGTGAGGATAAATGCGTTTTTTGGCTTCATTGAAGGAATGAGAATGAAGTCAGTGGAAACTAAAAGTTGTTTAAGTGGGAAGAGCCCAGCGATCTGTGAGGAGGAACCGCAGCAGAAAGTCTGTGAAGATGAAACAAGCAGAGAGGCAGTTTAAATACAAACTGATGAATAAAACTGTGTGGTAATCAGACTGGACGTCAAATGTATCCTCTGATCCACTTCGGTTTAAGTGTGGATAAAGTAAGGTAGCTTAATGCTAAAAAAGTAGTCTTGAAGCAAAAGTATTCTACAATCCGTCTCATTTACTACTGCGTTATTTCACATGCAAACAACCCTTATCCTGCACAAGTACAAGTATCGCTTACATTCCATAAAACATGCTACTGTAACTACACAATGCACTTACCACAAAAAACACGTAAGGAAACACCATTATTATTTAACGATTCGATTTTTATATTTGCATAGTTTCATGTTCCTCCTAATGGAAAGGTTTTGGGTCATTATTGCACATTTTCACTTGTTAGCCACCGTACATTATGATCAACTGTTTATTTAAATGCAGTTTGATGGGTGTGACTTGATCTCTTGTTAGGCAGCGTTGGAAATCTTTGATACCTGGGAGTAGCAGGCTTTAAAACTAATATAAACGTTGCATTCAAAGACACCAAACGTGGCGCTGTCACCAAATAACTATAGATTCTCCACAGACTCACTGAACAGTATTTACCTCAATCTAAACCAACACCTGCGTCACAGAATAACAACAGGATCAACAACCTCTCTGGAGTTTCAAAAGGTTTAATGAAAGCAGTCGCTGTTCGCAGTTCTTCCAGGTAAAGCTGCGTAGGCGGCTCACAGCAGGATGATTAGTCTCTGAGCGCCCCGACACCATGGCCCGCAGCATATGAGACATGCCGGCCCTGTATAATGGCCTTATTAGGATAATGGAGGTAGTTACAGGCTTCGTCTTCCTCCTGGTAATTCTATCTATCTGCACGCTCAATACAATGCAATACCTGCAAGTGTTTTTCCGTCCGAGGGGTGCTTCAGCGTAGACATGGAGCTATTTCTGTTTGTTTACACCATAATCCAGGAGAAAATGCTCAGCTATTATAGGCATCTTTTTTCAGCTTTTCCATTTATGAAATATGTATATCTTGGTGGTTTTTACCTGACATGATAAATTGTGCGAGGCATTTCATAGATTCTGTGTTTGGCAGCCTCGCTGAGTAAAGCCGGCCAAATCCATGGGTCATGTCGGGTCCCCTGGACTCTTTAAACCGGCTGCTGATGTTGGCTTACATCTGAGGACCTGCTGCCCAGCAAGGAGCAATTTGATATAATTTCAAACAATCAAGCGTGCTTCAAGACGAGAGCTGAGTGTGACTTACAGTGTATCATTTGATGTTATGATGCCTAATGGAAGGCCTGTGGAAGCTGCTGAAAGAGTATCAGTGTTGGGATGTAATAAAGTATATTTACTCAAAAATTGTACTTAAATATCATTTTGAGATTCTTGAGTATTTCTTTATTTAAGTATTTCCATTTTATGTTACCTTAAACTTTTACTGCATCACATTTCGGAAGACAATATTGCACTTTTTACTCCTCTGCATTTATCTCTCAGCTTTAGTTACTTTTATTAGCTATAACAAATGTAGGTCAACTAAACAAGTAGATATTAGTATCCTCATAGGTTTACGATATCCAGCAGCAGTATACAACATAGTTACAATTGGCTCCAAATGTACCTGTGGTGATGAACACATGAATGCATCAATAATCATAATCCAAGAATTTTTTATATTTCATATTTACGCTTAACAAGTACTTTTGCAGATTTTTTAAAAACACCTTCAATTTCAGGGGGGGCGCGGGGCCCCGTTGGCGATGTGCAGCGCCCCTCCAAGACAATGGTAGGGGAAACACTGGATGTGATATGAATGATAATGGGACACATCGAAGTCTGCACTCACTTACTTTGATCCGGTTACTTATGTTGAGGCAGATATTTAAGAAAGCTTTCTTAACGCTAATGTTATAATAGTCAGATTGCTCTGAACATGGGAGGTGATATTCTATTAATGTTCACGTTCACACAGTCGGTGATTTTTGCCGGCAGTCTTTCCTGCAACGGCAGCTTTTCTGTATTTCCTTTCTCCTGTAATATGACTTGATCGCTTTAAACTCCGCACACTGAGCTCTGATTGGTCAGCAGGCAGTGCTTTCACTGAGTTGAGCTCTTAGCCTGCAACCTAACCTGCTCCGGGGCAGGTTAGCCGCACAGCATAAGTTACCATGGAGATCTAGCCTGCTAAAAAGAGAACCAGCTTCGTAGGACCGGAAACCCCGAGTTTTCCCTGAAGTTAGCCCGCTAAGCGAAAATCCGGCTTCGTAGTACAGGCCTCTGCTGTACTGAAGACTTTGTTATTGTTGTGGGACCTGAGCGTATCGTATCTAGCGTCAGTGCAGTTTTATGAAGCACTGTGGACCTATTCTAATGCAGAAACATTTATTTAATAACTCTTTCTTCCCCCACAGGAAGGAGCCGTGGTGTCCCTGTTTAAGATCTGCAGGCAGGACCGCTTCAGAGATCTGTACGCTCACGCTCTGAGGACGGTGGCCTCCATCTGCTGCGTGGAGGAGGGCATCAACCAGCTGGACAAGGTATCACCTCTCATGAAGAATGAATGACAAGATTGATTTACATAATGCAAATCACTTATTGTGTAGCCAGAAAATCAATTAAAATGGAGAGAAACATGGCAACAAGTATGGAAGCCCTGACGGTCAAGTGAGACAAAAAGTAATAATCTGGTGATCCATTTTCTAAATCTGACCTAAAAAGTTTGCAACAACAGGTCGTAAAACAAGTTTCCTGTGATAATCTTTCTAAGTTTCTTAATTATGTTTTCAGTGAAACAGGAGGGGTAATAAGGTTTTGCAAATACAATTTATTTTCTGTAAACCCACGATACATATATTGTTTGCTAGCACGATATGTATCATTACACACTTTTTGTTATTTTAGCTAGAAATGTAGTTTAATCCTATATTTATGTAATATGGTAAAAGTACAGTGAGGGCCGGTTTTTGGCATATGCGGTCGCCTAGGGCGCCAGATCTGGGGGGGGGGGGGGGGGGGGGGGGGGGGCTGCGCTGGTAGCTCTGGGAGGGAAACAAACATTTTGGACCGTTGGTGCTCATCCTAATTTTCAGTCTTGATGTAACAACATTCATAATTAAGTAAATGTAACACCCTTTTCACCCCGGTTTTCATTTGCCCTGTACGATGGGCGCTGTAAGTGGGGG